ATTTAAATTCCTAATCACTCCTATGTATTCAAGATTCAATTACATGCAATCTTTTCAACTAATCTAATGAAATTTTAATTACATTCAATCTTGCCAATTCTCCAAATGAATTGATAATTAGAAAATCAAAGAATAAAATGTCATGACTAGCATTTCACTAAAATCCTGCAAAATGAAATCATACATACATACATCATGTCAAGAATACATTTGAAATAGATCAACAAATGAAATAACATATTAAAATCGGGAAACTAAAATTGCGTACATTTTGCCGTTTTCTTTATTCGTTTCCACGAACCTCACGTATAGTCCGTCTCCTAACTGAGACAACTATCTGGCCCCTTACTCTATAATGAAAACGTACTTTTTACGAATTCAGAATGTAGAGTTTGCCTACTCTCTGAGACAAAAAAAAAACTCCCGCTATACTGCCAAATCACGAGATAACGTCTTACACGTTCCTCCCGGAATCGTTCAACTTTCCTCGCGAAAGATCAAAGACTAAAGAATTTTCCTAAAGTAAAACCTTTAATTTCTTACAGAAAAACGCCCATGAATCCATATTAACCAATCGGAATAGACTGTATCCTAAACCTGTTCCGTAGAATTTTTGGATTGACAAGACAACTGAATAACTAATCATGCCGTAATTAATCATTACTTTGAACAATCATCTATAGCCATCTCCTGCCTTTAACCCGTCGATTTTGGGGAAGGGTCTTATGTCATTCTCTTGTACCATAGCATCTGACTCGGTCATATTACGTCGGCTAGAACGAATTCCCTTTTGACGTTCAGAGATGAAATGAAAATAATCATCTAACTATCTCTAGCCCTTTCTACTTTAATTAAGTTGACTTTGATACAATTCCTTTAATCAAAGATTCTAAGAGTTTTCAAAATTCGACACATCACAGATCTTAAAGCCAAAGTAGCTTCGTGGATTTCTCTGAATTAAGTAACATTTCTGACTGTAATATATGTATTTAGTAATTTAATATTTACTATAGTTAAATTTCTAAATGTTCAACACATGCGTAATTGCAATTCGAGACAAACAATACTTATCGTGAAATCGAGTTTTTCATTACATATCATTTACAGAAAATCAACATTGATATTGATTTGCCCCATATAAAAAGGCAGCACGCAGTCAGAAAAAGTTAATCGTACAATGACAACATGCTTTCAGCAAAACTGAATGGTTAAAGGATAAAGGTAGCATGCTGTCAGTAAACTAGAATGGTAAAAAGACAGCATGCTGTCAGTAATATTGAATGGCTAAAAGACAGTACGCTAATAATAAAATTTAATGGTAGAAAAACAAAACGATCTCAGTAAAATTGAATGGTACAACGACAGCACATTGTCGGTAATCTTGAATTATAAAAGACAGCATGCTGTAAGTAAAATTGAATGACTGAAAGTCAGCACGCTTACAGTAAACGTGAATAGTAGAAAAACAGTAACCTGTTAGTAAAATTGAACGATACAAAGACAGCACACTGTTAGTAAAATTGAATGGTACGTAGACAGCACCTGTCAGTAAACTTGAATGGTACAAGGACAGCACATTGTTAGTAAAATTGAATGGTACGTAGACAGCACACTGTCCGTAAACTTGAATGGTACAAGGACAGCACATTGTTAGTAAAATTGAATGGTACGTAGACAGCACACTGTCAGTAAACTTGAATGGTACAAGGACAGCACACTGTCAGTAAACTTGAATGGTACAAGGACAGCACACTGTCAGTAAACTTGAATGGTACAAGGACAGCACATTGTCAGTAAACTTGAATGGTACAAGGACAGCACACTGTCAGTAAAGTTGAATGACAAAGAGACACCATACTCTCAGTAAGAGTGAGTGGTAAAAAACAGCATCAAATCAATGTCACGTGATGTGTACTATTTATCTAACATATAAATATTATACTTAATATTTAAGATTACATGCAACATGGCATAATTTTCAGATTGTTTTGCATAAATTCATACTTTCGAAAATAATATATTGTTCATGATTTCAGGTGGAAATGAGTTCCAAGAAAGAAAAAAAAATACAATTTGATAAAATTTGACAATTCTGTAAATACAAAATATGTTTATCCATGTCAGCCTTTTTTTTCATAATGCAGGCGAATGAAATTTTCTTTAAAAAAAACAAACCAGAAAACATTTTATAAAGACAAAACAGATGACATTTTGTGTATAAAAAACATTATGTGCAGAAAACGGAAGATATTTTGCTTAGAAAACAGAAAAAAGACATTTGTTATAGAAAAATGAAGACATTTTGTATTTTAAAAAGAAAAACATGCGGAAAACATTTTGTATTAAAAACCATGCAGAAGATATTTTGTATAGAAAACAGACCAACTACATTTTGTCTAGAAAAACATAAGGAAGATACTGAGTCCAGAAAAGAGATAGAAGTCATTTTGCATATAAAATACACAGAAGACATTTGGTATAGAAAACAAATATACGACATTTTCTTTATTAAAACAGATAGAAAACATTTTATCTAGGAAAACTGAGAGAAGATATTTTTTAGAAAGTTGAAGACACTTTGTCTAAAAAAGGGATAGAAGACATTTTATATAGAAAAACGACATAAGACATTTAGTCTAAAAAAAACAGATCGAAAACCTTTAGTACACAAGAAACAGACAGACATTTATATCGAAAAGCAGATATATGTTGTCAGGATAATGTGACTGGGTGGGACATCATGCTACATGTCTGCGGCATGGTGCTCTAGTGCTATACATGACTATAAACTGCCACACATCAGACATTGTTGCGATGTGACTGAAAAATTCTTAAAGCTACGTGAAAAATCAAAATCACAAATCACGAAGCCATATAGATGCGCGCACACACACATACCTTTACAATACCACCAGCGTCACCTAAGTCGTCTCCTTCTTCTTGCAAAAAGCAGAAGAGAGATCACTGTCTGGACTTTGCTTGTTTAAGCTGAATTTCCAACTTTTTAATGCAAACGAAAAGCATATGCTTAGCAATGTTCATCAGGAGTTCATAAATGATTTTGTTATTAATGTTATGTTATATTGATGTATCCATTATATTTTAAATGAAAGTAAAACCTGTGATTATTGACAATATCCTTGACTAATAATTTTATCTTGATTTTGGGGCCAGCTTTGTTATGTACCGATTCTGAATGGGGTCACTTCGATCGATAATGTTTAAACTCCACTGACAAGGTCACTTCCAACTTGAAAAGGTTTGAACTTCGCTGACAGAGTGGTTAAACTCCAAAGAAACTGGTCATTCTAGAAATGGTTTAAACTCCACTGATAATATACTGGTCACTTCCAGCACGAAAGGGTTTAAACTCCTCTGACGGAATCCACTTCCAACTGGAAATGGTTAAATTTCACTTACAGGGATCACTTTCAATTGGAAATGGTTAAAACTCCACTGACGGGGGTGACTTCCAACTGGAAGGGGTTTAAAACTACTGACAGGGGACACTACTAAATAAAATGGTTTAAACTCCACTGATACTAGTCATTTCCATTTGGAAAGGGTTTAAACTCCACTGTTTTTCTTGCGACTGAATGCATATAGAAAATCTTATTGGGGTCAGAGATTTTTAGCTGCCAGCATATCGGTTTGAATTTACAGTGCAATGATTCGAATTGATTGTCACGTCTGTGTATAAGTATTCGTTTTAAAAACGAAACTTTAAGGATTTTGAAATTCAGAGGGTTTTGACAGGAGAAACTAAAGGTGCTGGGGTAGATATAAGTGTAGCAGAGGTATTTTGTGATCATACACAACAAGCAAGTACTTAACATGTATGGATTCAAAGGGCAATATGCCTCTTATTGGAACTAGTAAACAGCATTTTTCAAAGGACCAAAAGTTTTCAAAATAAGTCATAGACCAAACGTTTCCAAAACAAGTCTGACAGTTTGTATTATTATATTGAACATGCAGACTCACCTCAATTTTGAGGGTTATTTTTCTCTCTTTCGCTAGAAATTTAGGTTTTGTTTCGTGTCTCAGTATGTACTACAAGTATAAAGAACTGCGGTGGCTCAATAGATAGCGTGCTCGAAAGTGTTGGGTAAAACAAATACTGCCTTTTCATTAGCCCGGGTCAGCTGCCATAGTGTGTTTTGGGGCAAGGCACTTAATTGCCCAGGTCAGCTGCCATAGTGTGTTTTGGGGCAAGGCACTTTATTGCTCGGGTCAGCTGCCATAGTGTGTTTTGGGGCAAGGCACTTTATTGCCTCGGCTCCAGATGACCTAGTTGAGCAGTAAGATAATAATCCAAACAAAAACAAAAAGTACAACATACACCCACCAGATTCCTTCTTCTAGCTCGAAGGTTCTGGGTACGATTATTTCTGAAAATGATGCAAAATAACAAACGCTTTCGGCCCGATCTACCTTTCAAAAAAAATTTCCAAAGCACTGCGAGTACTCTCTAAAAAAGGTGACGATGAGCAATTAATGGAGGACTTTTATGATACAAGTGTTTTTGGTAACATTATGGAAAAACATCCCACGCTAATATAAAAAAAATCCTAAATTATACATATGCTAAGGGAAACAACCCAAATAATTTCAAGAAAGAGTAGCAATTGAAGTTGTCTCCATTGCGTTATAGCTCAGAAATAAATTCAACAATTCAGTTGCAGAGAGAGAGAGAGAGAGAGAGAGAGACAGACAGACAGACAGACAGACAGACAGACAGAGACAGAGACAGAGAGAGTCTGTTTGTGTGTGTTGGATTTTTAACGTAGTTTTAAACAAATTTCAGTCATATCGCTATGATGTCTGCAGTGTAGCAGTTTATAGTGATGTCAAGCACTAGGGCATCTTGCCGCAGACATGTAGTATGTCTCACCCAGTCATATTATCTTTACAGCAGACTGACCAGTCCTAACACTAAGTTCCTAATGCTGAGCACCTATCGAGGCAGCTATTAGAACTATTTTTATAAGTCTTTGACATGATTCAGCCGGGGTTCAAACCAGCGACCTCCTGCATCAGAGGCTGATGCTCTAACCACTACGCCACCGTAACGGTGGTTAAGTGTTTCAAAAAATAAAAGAATAATATTTTCAATAAATCGTCATTATTATTATTATTATTATCAAGACTAGGATACCAGTTTCAATAAATCGTCATTATTATTATCAAGACTAGGATACCAATTTCAGTAAATCGTCATTATTATTATCAAGATTAGGATACCAGTTTCAATAAATCGTCATTATTATTATTATCAAGACTAGGATACCAGTTTCAGTAAATCGTCATTATTATTATCAAGACTAGGATACCAGTTTCAATAAATCGTCAGTATTATTATTATCAAGACTAGGATACTAGTTTCAATAAATCGTCATTATTATTATCAAGACTAGGATACCAGTTTCAATAAATCGTCATTATTATTACCAAGACTAGGATACCAGTTTCAATAAATCGTCATTAATATTATTATCAAGACCAGGATACCAGTTTCAATAAATCGTCAGTATTATTATCAAGACTAGGATACCAGTTTCAGTAAATCGTCATTATTGTTATCAAGACTAGGATAACAGTTTCAATAAATTGTCATTTTTTATTATCAAGACTAGGATACCAGTTTCAATAAATCGTCATTATTATTATTATTATTATTATTATTATTATTATTATTATTATTATTATTATTATCAAGACTAGGATACCAGTTTCAATAAATCGTCATTATTATTATCAAGACTAGGATACCAGTTTCAATAAATCGTCATTATTATTATCAAGACTAGGATACCAGTTTCAATAAATCGTCATTATTATTATTAAGACTAGGATACCAGTTTCAATAAATCGTCAGTATTATTATTATCAAGTCTAGGATACCAGTTTCAATAAATCGTCATTATTATTATCAAGACTAGGATACAGTTTCAGTAAATCATCAGTATTATTATTATCAAGACTAGGATACCAGTTTCAATAAATCGTCAGTATTATTCTTTTCAAGACTAGGATACCAGTTTCAATAAATCGTCATTATTATTATCAAGACTAGGATACCAGTTTCAATAAATCGTCATTATTATTATCAAGACTAGGATACCAGTTTCAATAAATCGTCATTATTATTATTAAGACTAGGATACCAGTTTCAATAAATCGTCAGTATTATTATTATCAAGTCTTCTATACCAGTTTCAATAAATCGTCATTATTATTATCAAGACTAGGATAAAGTTTCAATAAATCGTCAGTATTATTATTATCAAGACTAGGATACCAGTTTCAATAAATCGTCAGTATTATTCTTATCAAGACTAGGATACCAGTTTCAATAATTCGTCATTATTTTTATCAAGACTAGGATACCAGTTTCAATAAATCGTCATTGTTATTATCAAGACTAGGATACCAGTTTCAATAAATCGTCATTATTATTATCAAGATTAGGATACCAGTTTCATTAAATCGTCATTATTATTATTATCAAGACTAGGATACCAGTTTCAATAAATCGTCATTATTATTATCAAGACTAGGATACCAGTTTCAATAAATCGTCATTATTATTATCAATACTAGGATACCAGTTTCAATAAATCGTCATTATTATTATCAAGACTAGGATACCAGTTTCAATAAATCGTCAGTATTATTATTATCAAGAATAGGATATTAGTTTCAATAAATCGTCATTATTATTATCAAGACTAGGATACCAGTTTCAATAAATCGTCATTATTATTATCATGACTAGGATACCAGTTTCAATAAATCGTCATTATTATTATTAAGACTAGGATACCAGTTTCAATAAATCGTCATTATTGTTATTATCAAGACTAGGATACCAGTTTCAATAAATCGTCATTATTATTATCAAGACTAGGATACCAGTTTCAATAAATCGTCAGTATTATTATTATGAAGACTAGGATACCAGTTTCAATAAATCGTCATTATTATTATTATCAAGATTAGGATACCAGTTTCAATAAATCGTCAGTATTATTATTATCAAGACTAGGATACCAGTTTCAATAGATCGTCATTATTATTATCAAGACTAGGTTACCAGTTTCAATAAATCGTCATTATTATTATTAAGACTAGGATACCAGTTTCAATAAATCGTCATTATTATTATCAAGACTAGGAGACCAGTTTCAATAAATCGTCATTATTATTATCAAGGCTAGGATACCAGTTTCACTTTTCTGATTTAGAAATCTATTTTATTTCCTTTAAGTTTGCCATCACGTCAGATCTTACAATATATTCATAGTGATATGGTTTCGTTCAGTGATATGATTTAGAACATGGTGATATGATTTCATTCACACTGATATGATTTTATTCATATTGATATAATTTCATTCACACTGATATGATTTTATTCATATTGATATAATTTCATTTACACTGATATGATTTTATTCCTATTGATAATATTTCATTCACACTGATATGATTTTATTCATATTGATATATATTCATTCACACTGATATGATTTTATTCATATTGATATAATTTCATTTACACTGATATGATTTTATTTATATTGATATAATTTCATTTACACTGATATGATTTTATTCCTATTGATAATATTTCATTCACACTGATATGATTTTATTATTATTGATATATATTCATTCACACTTATATGATTTTATTAGTATTGATATAATTTCATTCACACTGATATGATTTTATTCATATTGATATAATTTCATTCACACTGATATGATTTTATTAGTATTGATATAAATTCATTCACACTTATATGATTTTATTCATATTGATATAATTTCATTTACACTGATATGATTTTATTAGTATTGATATAATTTCATTTACACTGATATGATTTGGAACATGGTGATATAATTTCATTCACACTGATATGATTTTATTCATATTGATATAATTTCATTTACACTGATATGATTTTATTCATATTGATATAACTTCATTCACACTGATATGATTTGGAACATGGTGATATAATTTCATTCACACTGATATGATTTTATTAGTATTGATATAATTTCATTCACACTGATATGATTTTATTAGTATTGATATGATTTCATTTACACTGATATGATTTTATTCATATTGATATAATTTCATTCACACTGATATGATTTTATTCATATTGATATGATTTCATTTACACTGATATGATTTTATTCATATTGATATAATTTCATTCACACTGATATGATTTTATTCATAGTGATAAAATTTCATTCACACTGATATGATTTTATTAGTATTGATATAATTTCATTTACACTGATATGATTTTATTCATATTGATATAATTTCATTTACACTGATATGATTTTATTCATAGTGATAAAATTTCATTCACACTGATATGATTTTATTAGTATTGATATAATTTCATTTACACTGATATGATTTTATTCATATTGATATAATTTCATTTACACTGATATGATTTGGAACATGGTGATATGATTTCATTCACACTGATATGATTTTATTCATATTGATATAATTTCATTTACACTGATATGATTTTATTAGTATTGATATAATTTCATTCACACTGATATGATTTTATTAGTATTGATATGATTTCATTCACACTGATATGATTTTATTCATATTGATATGATTTCATTCACACTGATATGATTTTATACATATTGATATATATTCATTCACACTTATATGATTTTATTCATATTGATATAATTTCATTTACACTGATATGATTTTATTCATATTGATATAATTTCATTCACACTGATATGATTTTATTAATATTGATATGATTTCATTCACACTTATATGATTTTATTCATATTGATATATATTCATTCACACTTATATGATTTTATTCATATTGATAATTTTATTCACACTGATATGATTTTATTAGTATTGATATAATTTCTTTTACACTGATATGATTTTATTCATATTGATATAATTTCATTCACACTGATATGATTTTATTCATATTGATATAATTTCATTCACACTGATATGATTTTATTAGTATTGATATAATTTCATTTACACTGATATGATTTTATTCATAGTGATAAAATTTCATTCACACTGATATGATTTTATTCATATTGATATAATTTCATTCACACTGATATGATTTTATTAGTATTGATATAATTTCATTTACACTGATATGATTTTATTCATAGTGATAAAATTTCATTCACACTGATATGATTTTATTCATATTGATATAATTTCATTCACACTGATATGATTTTATTATTATTGATATATATTCATTCACACTTATATGATTTTATTCATATTGATATAATTTCATTCACACTGATATGATTTTATTAGTATTGATATAATTTCATTTACACTGATATGATTTTATTCATAGTGATAAAATTTCATTCACACTGATATGATTTTATTCATATTGATATAATTTCATTCACACTGATATGATTTTATTAGTATTGATATAATTTCATTTACACTGATATGATTTTATTCATAGTGATAAAATTTCATTCACACTGATATGATTTTATTAGTATTGATATAATTTCATTTACACTGATATGATTTTATTCATATTGATATAATTTCATTTACACTGATATGATTTTATTCATATTGATATAACTTCATTCACAGTTGTATAATTTTATTCGTGGTGATATAATTTCATTAACAGTTGTATAATTTTATTCGTGGTGATATAATTTCATTAACAGTTGTATAATTTTATTCGTGGTGATATAATTGCATTAACATTTGTATAATTTTATTCGTGGTGATATAATTTCATTAACAGTTGTATAATTTTATTCGTGGTGATATAATTTCATTAACAGTTGTATAATTTTATTCGTGGTGATATAATTTCATTAACAGTTGTATAATTTTATTCGTGGTGATTTCGTTCATAGTGATTTTTCATTCATGGTGATATGATTTCATTCACAGTGATGTGATTTTATGAGTGATATTCTTTTATCTATAGTGATATTCAGTTTATTGTGATATGATTTCATTCATGGTGATA